GGCCCGCTGCCGAGTAACGACGCCGGTGGCTACGGCGGCGGCGGTGGCGGGCGGGCGGGCGGACCGTGCCCCCGGAGGTCCCGTGGCTTCGTGCACGATGGATGGAGAGAATCCATGTGGCTGCGTTTGATAACCCCCACCCCTCCCCCGTGCGATCGCAGGATTGAGCTGCCGGGCCGGACGCAAGGCCCGGCCAGACCGCTCAAGCGTCCGTGTGAAATTTAACGGAGTGCGTGCATGTGTGCGTGCGCTCGCACTCGCGCACACGTACCCATGTGCGTGTTTGTAACCTTTTTGCGTATTTGTGGAGTGGTCGCGCAGAGGTTTGCGCTCTGAACTGTGAATCCCAGCCGCCTGGGTTAAATTTCCAGGCATGGCTAACATCGGCAACAGTGTAGCATCAGAACGTATTATGTGTCTCCCCACGGCCAACTCGGCCTTAAACGAGTAACTGTTGTGGTTTATAACCACCGCTCGAGGTACTGGGCCGGATGCATTGCTGTCAAAACCTCTCCCTCGTACAATGTTGCCCTAAATAGGTGCTCGCTAATGGCACTGCCCCGCTAGTCTATACGGCTGCCTTTGTCTATTTGTATATGTGTTTACGCACTTATTTTGCGTGTTATAATAATATACGATGGAGAGTTGGGAATGGTGGCGCATGGCCGTGTGATCCAGCACTGAAAGCAAGGTTTGGTTGATCAAACAGATTTGTGAAGATGATTGCTTGTGTTACGATCGAAACGCCGTGATATTTTTATTATTTTTCTATCTACGTGGCTTTACCGAAAGACCCATAGAATATGTCTCCCAAACCCGTTGGGCTGTGATGTGGCCAGGAAACAGCAGAACATCAAGTGGGTTTTTTAACCCATCTGTGCGAACTTCTCAATATTATCCTATTATATGAATGCGTTTTCTCCCAAGTTCTCCAATTTACTCCCATATGCAATGCCAGGACTCATCAAATAGGAATGGCTTGGACAATCTTGAGACTCAATAAAGCTTTTCTTGATGAAGAAACGACCCTGCAAAACAATTTAAGATTTTCTTTTATATTTCCTTCCCTTTCCTAAGCAAGACTCACAAGACTTTTTTCAGGAGGGTCACGTTCATTGTTTGCCCGATTGCCTTTCGAGTAATTTTGGATGTGGGAGGAAGTGGGACTTTTGAGCCAAAGCCCATGGGTGCAAGGTGATAACACTCGCACACCACACATGTGGCTTAAGGGTAGCAACCTACTTACCAAACTGCCTTCTGCAAGCACATTGCTGCCACGCAGATGCGGGCGTAATGCACGCATGAGCCGGATAAGGTCTCCACGTGAGCCACCAATTCGAATTCCGGTATCCAGAAGAGGGGGTTGCATGCAGGCTGAAACATATCTTGGCATAATTGTATTTTATATCCGTGCATTTAAAGGATTGCAGCTAGAAGGGGTTAATGTGCGAGCGAGCCAAGTCGGGCCAACGCCTCCAAGTAACAGAAGACCTCTCCCTCTCCACGCCTGCGCCCGCAATTTTAAGCTACACGCACTCACGTGTAAAGGCACTTGGCCTTTGTGTATTGTGCAAAAAAGCATCGGCCTTTCCTGAAGAAGTGCATTGTGGTCCTCTTGTCGTCGGTCGCCCACAACATATGGTTCAGCGAATGTGACCGATTGACAGGCAGCAGTGACGCAGTGTTGGACAAGTGTGGACCGGTTTTGTCTTTGTTAGGACTCATCAGTACTACACAGTCACCGACGCTCACTGCTGGAAAGTCTGCTTCTGGGAACCGGTGAATTTGGAGTAACCGTGGCGCCAATTGGCTTGGCTAATGCCAACACCAACAACCGAATATGTAAATAGGGAAAAAAACCCCATGCCTGCACTCGCTCATGAAATGGATGACGGGCGTTAATTACACACAAATGTTAGTTACCGCGTCCGGCTTGCTGGGCTTGCAGGGATAGATTGATGGGGCAGCAACTGAGGCTAATCCGCTCCAGTATATTGGTGTCGAAAGACGTCTGTCCTGCTTCAATGAGCCTTGAATGGTTGGGTATCTCCGTTGGTGGTCCTGAGCCAATGGTTCAAAATCCTGGTCCATGTCACTCAGAGGAGTCTCTGTTACGTGGAACAGTTTCTCAAAATGAACACACGTCTTCCAGAACGACACAGTGATCATAAACGTGTATACATTGACTTGCTGTGCAATCATTTAAGATATATTAATTCGCATCCAAACAATGCATCAAGTACACACACGAACAAAGGGATGCGTTATATGTCCATGCTCAGTACTTGTAGTCGTACACGCATGTGCATGTACTTACCTATGACTGAATCGCCCTGATCCTTCCTGATCTTGTCGGATTTTTTAAGTACTGTAAGTAACTTGGGAGGAAGACTCCCTGGGAATAACAGATGTTGCAGACTTTGGCTTTCAGATGGGACAGGAGTTTGCAGTACAGCAATGGATTTCTGACTCCATCTATTTGAAGCTTTGAGTGTTATCCCCTAATATTTGTTGGTTTTTTCTACCACATGCCAAACACTCATACGTGAAACTTTCCGGTGTAGGCGGCCCTCTTGAGAACGAGCCTTCAGCCCTGCGTAAAACTCTTCCCGGTAAATAAATAGTATCAAATTATTATACGCGCAATCGTCATCGAATCAAATCGGGACATTAACTAATTTGCATGCGTACATAAGCTTTGCGTAAACTCAATACAGCACAAATATGCGTTGGGTGCTTTGTATAACCAAACAAGTGAGCACACTCCCCCCATGATGGGAGCATTTAAGTGTAAACGTTGTGGCTGCCGATGTTCAATAACAGAGCTCAGCCCTTCCCAGAGATCTGAAATTAACTCGAACTAAACAATTTTTTCATTTTACCAGGTAAGGGGCCCCACTGAGTTCTATATCTTTTTTTTCAGAAGCGACCTGGCTACAAATGATAGCTCAACGAAGTGACTTATCACGTTGAAATTTATAGCAGTAACCAAATACTCTAAACGCACGTTTCTAAACGTGGAGGGATTTTGTTTTTTCCCCATAGAAAAATCCACACGACCACAGGGAGAATGTGCAAACTCCAAATATTCAGGCGTCAGGTTCGTGATCGAACCCACGAACTCCCGTACATCAGGCGAGGTCGTTAACATCTCGCCACCGCGGCGCCCTTGCAATCTGTTTCCAATGAAAGCATCGGCGGGGAAGAGTGTACGACGAGGCTGCGGGCAATGGTGGCCTGGCACACTCCATGATGAAAGGACGCTTAAAAACTGACGCGTGGCCGCTGCCAAGGAGCTGTGTCGCCTGAGTTTTAATTTCCGTCTGCTGGGCGGTGGCGCTCACCCTCCCTTTCGCCCGCCCGCCTGCCTGCTCGTCTGCCCGCCCTCACGACCAAAAACTCTCGCCCTTCCTTGCCTTCTCTCTTGCAGTTGTTGCTGCTGCTTGCTGCAGCACGAGCGGACAGATTGGGCCCTCTAAAAGCAGTGGCCGTGGCGAAAAAGCGCAGGCTTAATTTCTGTTGGTGAACACGCCGGCAGCAGCTCGTTCACTGGCAGCGTTGTTTTAGCTCCTGGAATCCGTTTAGGACCCCGATATCCTGACGGTCACGTGGGGGGGGGAGAAGCCTTGCGGCTAAACGGTTGCTTTGACGTCAGCCTCCTCGTTCGGTGGCGGCTACCGCCTCTCTGTCTGCTTCTGCCTTCAGTCCCACACAAACACTGACCCCCCTCCCCCCACAGCCATCCTCCGCCACCCACCGTCCTTACTCACCCAAGCCCGCCTCTCTACGGTTCTTCTGCCAACCTGGGCCCATAAAGGGCAGTCTGCTGGCAAACTTTGATTTCGACTTGGCACAACTTAAGGGAGTTCAGAAATGTCTTTCTTCGGAAAGAGGCTTAGTTATTACAAGAGATTGGCTGTTCTTGATTTTTTTCATCTTTATATATTTTTTCCCCTCTCTTTTATTCTCCTTGGGGGGATTTACAGTAAAGAATTCTTTAATTCCTTAAGTGGCGTCTGCCCGTTAGTGTAAGTACTCTTCTATACGGCTACGTTTCTCGGTTTTTTTTGTTGCGTTCCGAAGCGGTACCGCGAGTAGAGTTGGTGGCACAATGACCGCCCATGGAAAAATCAGGACAGTTGAGAGAAAAAAAAAAACACTTAATAATATTCTCTTGAAATTTGAGTTAGAGGTAGAACTTTTATTTAATAGGTACTCGTGTAAATTGGAGAAACAAAATGCAAACTGCGCCAAGCAGATTTTTTTGCCTTAAGTGAACCTTTCCAAGTTCGAGCAATTTAACCTTCTGTCTGACGTGACAAATGCTCACAATGCTCCATTAACCCCCAAACTCTCTGAATTACCGTAATTGCTATGAAAATAAATGAACGAACTTCCATGTCGTGGCAAGGTTAGTGAACCAAGCACCGATTGCTGACTTGGGCCTAAATCAATTTGGTAGGAAAATCACTCATTCAGGTTTCTAAGTGAGAAAGTGATAGATAAAAAGAAAACTCAACCATCTCTTAACATGCTCGTCACATATTCGTTTTTATTGACATGATTTGAACTAATGAACCCGAAGAGTGCTTGCTTTGGCGAACATCTTGCCAGGGTGCAATGATGCATTGATTGATCGATTAATAAGGATTTTTTAGTTTAAGATACGTGCGTCAAATTGCATGCCTATGAATACTCTTTTTTGTCAGCATATCTTGTATATGAAGAATTCACATGACCCTGGTAGCAATGAGCAGCCGCTAAATTTAACACGGTGTTAAAAAAAGTTGCAAGTCCTTGAATCAAATTGCGGCCATGAATTGTGACATTTCATTGGATTGCCCGTTGCATGATCCATGTGTTGGCTCTGCAGGTTTTGGAAGGGAAAGCTTTTCTGCCACGCACGATGGAAACATGCTGCCTCCTGCAATCGCTGCCCTCTTTCCCCTCCCGGTGTTTGGGCGTTCCCTGATAGCATTCCCACCTCCGTTTCTGTGCAGGTTCACCTGAAGGCGCCTATGATCCTGAACGGTGTGTGCGTGATCTGGAGGGGCTGGGTGGACCTGCAGAGGCTGGACGGCATGGCCTGCTTGGAGTTTGACGAGGAGAGGGCACGGGTAAGGGCTCAACCTTCTGACCTCGGGTTACGAGAATGAAAACAAAATCGCGGTCGATTGATTACATTGGTCAAAGAATGAAATAACTCAATTGTGTCCCTTATTTGATTACGCGGGGAGCTTGCGAAGCCGTTGGGGGCATTTATTCGTTTTTGTAAAAACTTGCCTATGTTGGCTAAAAAGAAGAGTGTGGAAGGGAGAGGGAGAAAGCGAAAGAGGCCGTGGAGTTTGCATAGCCTGCCAGCGAGCTTGCCCGCCTGCACACCCCCAGGTGCATTGAACAAAACTCGTCTTTTTCCGACGGGCGTTGGTATCGATTTTGAAGTTCCTCCTGTTCATACCCGCCTGGGCAGCCCGCGGCTAAATTACCGCAGCCGTCCGTCACAGGCCGGGCTAGCGGCTCGCTGATGGCACAGTAATTGCATTAGGAGTTGCAGGGGTGGCGGGGTTTACGGAGTGGGGGGAGAGAGAGGAAGCAGGGAGGGACCCGGCAGCTGAGCACATCGGACACGACAACTGGGCCTCGTGGCGTCGAGTCGGCGCCGGTCCGATGCTCGTAGGGGCGGCACCCCTTCTCCCGGCTCATTCCCCCAGACCCAATGACTCGCTTCATCTGGCGTGTCCCAAGTCCCCTCCAAGAACGATTTATGTGAATCAAAGATAATGAAAGCGTTTCGAGGTAGTGGGAAATGAATTAATGAATAAATATGATTTTTTTACGCGGAATGGCCTAGTTTTTTGTAAAGCAAAACTCGTCGGTTTAAAAGCGGTCTGCTTTGGATTTTTTGTCATTAAAAAAATGTAGTTATGGGAGAGAACTTGAGTACCTGGAGAAAACATGTACATATGAGGGGTTAACAGACATCCATGCATTGCCACCGTCACACGCCGTGAAACTGAGGATGGCATTTTGTTGTGTGCGTGCTTTTGTTGGCTGTTTACCGAAGGGTGCAGCAAGTTGTTTGCTTGTTACCGATTAATCAACACGTGGGTCGTGAGGCTGAACAACAAAAAACAGCGGCACACTTTCGCAGAAATTAGATGGCCAACTCGCAATCTCTGTGGCGCACTTTTGGACTATGTGGCCACGGCGGCTTGAAGAGAGTTTGATAAAAAAAAATCTTTAGTCGTTAACCGTTGAAAATAAAAATGTATTTTTTTTTGCGTGTGGACGAGCAAAAAAATAAAAAATAAACCCCGATGCAATGCGGTTTTCAGAGTAATCGCTCACCTCATGACTCGGGTTCATGGAAGCATTTGAATGCAGAAATAAGTTTTGTTTGAAATAAATGAACCATTTCAGAAACATGGTACTTAAGGTCATGATGGAGAAAAACAAACTCCGTATACAAGTGCGATTGGGCGGGTCTTCCTGTGGAATTATTTGCTTTCTATCTTTCCATGAAGACACACACACACACACACGGTTTATATATCTTGGCTCTAAAGGGCACTTGAATTGATGGATGTTGCAATAAAAAAAAGACACAACGTACTGTATCTTGACTTGGGGCTCTTTGTAGTTGTCAACAAAATAACACCCACCTTGCATGGCGACTCTATAATTAAATGGTAAGAGGCATACACATTGCTCAAGAGTGTATCTAAAATTGTGAGAACCCGTACGAGATGACAGCTCAATTTTTTCCCCAGTTGAGACCTCGAGAAAAATGTAAACGTAAGGCTCTTTCGTCCATCCATTGCCGGATGAGGGCCTCCTGACTCCGTGTGGGTTATAGGGGTCAATCGACCATACTTCACCACGCCGGTCAGCGCGGGTTGGTGAAGGCAGACAGCATAGACACTGGGAGCATAGAAGTACAGTGCAGCAATTGATATTACTTCACGGCATTCTGATGGTCCACCTTCACCCCCTCCCCCCACCCGGCCATGTGGCCCCGTAGCCTATAGCACCTGTTACGCATGGTGGTTGCTCATCCAAGCGCTATCCTTGCTCAAACCTGCTTAGATTTGAAAGATGACAAGGCTGCGTGCATTCTGGGTGATGTGGTCATGGTTCTCTGGTGGGAAATATTTATCAAAAATAACATGAAATTCAGCACATTCATCATATCTAAAATGTTTACTTACAAAATGCAGTGTAAGGTGAGTTCTAAACAAAAATATAAATCAACAGCCCTTTGTCAGTCCACTGCTGGATGAAGGCCTCCCCCCGCTGCCGCATCGGCCATGTTTGACCATATTTCACCACGCTGCTTGGTGTGGGTTAGGGAAGTGGGGGTGCCCCTGACTGTGTCAGGTGTCACTCACAACTGATGTTAGCCATGGCCAGGAATCAAACTCTCATTTCCAGGTACGTAGTACAGTGCCCGAATCCTTACACCGCCATCCAAACCAAAATATGTTGATATTCATTGAATTTTCCGATGGCCAAACCACCCGAAATGTGCCTGATCGCATCAGATCTCGGAAGCGAAGCAGATTTGAGCCCGGATAGTGCTTCGAAGTGCAACTACCACGTGTCAAAGGCAGGTGTTGTCGGCTTCCGTGGGGCTACGTTGTAAGCAGATGGCAGTGAAGCAAAATCAATCGTTTGAGTATTCTCCAGTGTCTGTCCTCCTACCCCTTCTTCACCAACCCACACTGACCAGCGTGAAGTGTGGCCAAATAACTTCTATAACCCGCACTGGCACTGGGGAGACCCTCATCCAGCATTGGATTGACAAAAGGGAATTTACGTATACATGAATGGAATGTTATTAAACACCTGTGAAAGAAGTTCAACATACACACACACACGAAGTTACTTTATTCGCCACCTGTATCAGTCTAACATAGCATAATTCCTGCAGCTATTCTAGGTTCTTTCTTAATTTGCCTCCTCCTCCGACTCGGACACCCTTGTGAAAATCCCAGAAAATGGCCCTGTGTGGCACGATCTCCAACGCTGGGCCAGGGGGCCCGGCCGTGCCGAGCCTTTGCGAAGCCCCACAGAGGGGTAATGGATCCCCTCATCTATAATTCAGAGGGCACCTTCGGAGAACGGCTCTCTCCTAAAGTCACATTGAGAGCCGGTCGCCATGTCCTTTCTTGTCCTGAGGCCCAAATGGGAGGACTGGAAACACCGAGGCAGTGTTTTTTTTTAGTGCTGGGGAAATTATTCTGAAACTGCAATTGCGCAGTGGAAAAGCCATTTATATTTGTTTTATTATTATTATTGTTAAACATATGCAGTGGAAATCCTGACCCCAACTGGCTGATGCACCCGCATATGCACGTAGGGCGTGAGTGTACGTGGAAACGTGCGTCTGTGTACCCAGCGATCGTAAGAACGAGACTTATTTTCAGTTGAGTTCTACTTGGCATATTTGGCCATTGTCATTTGGGGAGAGTTGCTTTTTTGTGTGAGGATGACCAGAGAAAGTCGATGCATACAGAGGAATATGATACATTAGTAGATATTACCATGATAGCTGTACTGCCGCCTTTATGCACAATATTGCCCAAGGTAGGAGTTTTACATCAAATATATGCTACTCGCGAGCGGGATGAAAGTTAACGTTTAGCTTGTCAAATAAATTACTTTAGGATGCATTGCATTTTTAAGGTGAAATTACTAACGGTCCTCATACAGTTCTGATCGGAACACTACTGTACACAAAATGCATTGGACATGGCAGACGATGCCGGTCGTAAGATACAATTCCGTTGTGGAAAAGGGTAACTTATATTATTTGAACACATTTTGATGAAACTAAGCTGGGGATTTCCTCCAATGTTTTTTTATTGAAACCCAGAAACTGCAATGAGATTGGAAAAACTCTCTAGTTAATAACGGTAGCCATGTGCGGCTTTCGATGAGAATAATTTTCTTAACCTTTGCCTATGGCTGGCAGCTTCTCTCTCCGACAAACACATGCCCACTGTCTCTACCGAGCATCTGGAGACGCGGTCGCAGTTAGACCCCACGTCAATCCAAATGTCAACGTGTTGCCTAAATGTGGCGCTGTTTAACAAACGCGTAAGAGCAACGAAACGGTTTTCGAAGTTTAACACCGCAGCGGTGGCGGGGATAGGTTGACGTCGACGTTGGAGCTATAATTGCAAGCAGCCCAGAATGTGATTCCCTTTGTGCAAACATTCGCGACCGCGATTACATTTTTATGTGCGAGCCGGCTGCCGACGCAGCGTTCCCGCACGGCTGCTCGTTAAACCAGCGGGGATCGGTTACGGGCCCCCATTGATTTGCGATCGTCTCCCGGAGGCCCCCCCCCCCCCACCGATCGGACGGACGGACGCGGGGCCACGTTTTGAGTGAGCGGGATTTTTTTTTGGGTGACGTTTCTGCCTATTTCAGCACCGCCCAAAAATAATTGCGCGCCGCCGTCTTGGGTCGCCAGCTTCGTCGCGTGTCGCGAGCGTGCCGGAGTAAAAAAAAAAAAAAAATTCGAGTCGAAAAATAAAACGAGAACAAAAATCGCAGTTTGCACCACGTTCACGGTTATCTCTTGTGAACGATTTAATTCAACAAATCGATTGGCGCAACGTTGAACCGTCCTTAATGAATAGGGCGCGGTTAGATGCTTTTCCGTTTGGAGAAACGGACCGGCAGCCCACAGCGTCACGGTAGAGGTGCGCTCGCCCGCTCGCTCGATCGCTCCCCCACTCGCTCCCCTTCTCTCTTGCGACGGTTGACACTGCGATGAGCAAACAAGAGGTACGTGCGTGCCTGCGTGTCCATGTTTGACAGCGCCAAGTCGCTGTGCCGCAGGCAAAGGCGTCAGTCCTGCCGTCGGTGCCAACAAAATGCATTTGGCGCGCACACGTGCTCACGCACGCACGCACACAAAAGACAAAGACAAAGATCCCCCGTTTAGCCTTAACAGACTGTTGTTAGCGAGTCGCACCTATGAAGACCAGAACGGCACACGAGGGGGTGGGTGGCCAGCACTACGCCCCGGCCGCCTTTGTCTCTCCAGTGGCGATGTTTACACACCGCTGCACTACATGCACACACGCACAAAAAGATCCCCCATATA